TATTCCCTTGTAAGATATTAAAATTTTGTAGTCCCTTCATATTGCCCATAAGACTTTTTGCCCCATATGAATGGTTCTGGCATAGTACGATTTCCAGTATAAGATGTTAAAATGCGTTGTAGCCGATCAAGAGACAGCATTATACCAGGAGGCTGATGCTGTGATTTGTCTTTCTAGGTTGAAGAGTTAAGTAACAGTGTGGCACATTATTTTAAATCTGTGGGTGTGAAACGGGGACAGACAGTAGCCCTATTTATGGAATCAAGACCAGAGTACGTGTGTATATGGCTTGGTTTGTCAAAGATTGGAGTAGCTACTGCATTGATCAACTCAAATCTGCGGCAAACACCTCTTGTCCACAGTATTAGAGTTGCCAACTCTCGAGCTATTATCTTTGATTCAGAACTGGCCAACGGTGAGTTTTCACTATTTTCTAGCTCTGTAGATCTGTAATACAGTATTAAAACCCTTACTTGGTAAGATTTGGACCAGATACTTGGTCGAATTAAAGAATTTTTCAGATTTTACATTTAGTATAGTGATCTTTTATTGTACACTTGTTCTGCTGCAAACTATTTGCATGATTTAGAAGACTCCTCCAATAATTTATCTGCAGTTTAATGATTACTTGACAGTTTCAGAAGATATATTCCAGAACACTTTTTAAATTTGGTTACTGGCCTGTCCATACTACAAACATTATTCCAGAGTAGAAATACTTCTTAGCTCACCGTCTCAGTCCCCATATTAGTAATGTCTTTGATTTACATAGTATGTGCATGTCATTCTTCTGCCCGCAAGCTAGTGACGTAGGCAAACACACAGGTTGATCCTGGGTGCAGTACATGACATATGAAAGTATTAAGATTATTATTTAGCATTCCACCACTTTTAATACTTTGAGATCAATTTTATTTCCGTGTGTAGAGCTTCTGATGGTACGGGATGATGTCAGAGACCTGCCTTTGTACCAGTATACTTCTGGCAGCATAGACAAGACGCTGCACCCTGATGTCATTGATCTGTTGCCTGCTCTCACTTCCTCTCCATCTGGTCCTCTGTTTGAAGACTTGTCTGAGAGTTCATATCGTGATAATGTTCTGTACATCTTCACGTCAGGAACTACGGGAATGCCCAAAGCTGCTGTGATCACGCATCTTCGGTATGTTCATTCAAGTGTTGTTTTCTTTAATTTAACACGTTTAATCGACTCTGTTCATCATTTCCTTAAAACTTCATTTTTGAATATGTAACATTCTAATTGTGTTAATTGCAATTTTATTATGTACGAGGCTCGTCCACAAAGTAAGTTTCCCTTGGGCCGTTTACAGAAACAAAACACAATTTCATGGGAATATTTATTGCAACAGATACAGCAAGTGTCTAGCTATTTTTCAACATATTCGCCACCGGAATTGAGACATTTGTCATACCGTGGGACCAACTTTTAATACCTGTGTCGTAGAAGTCTGCCGCCTGGGATTGGAACCACTGTGTGACAGCCATCTCCGCCTCTCTGTCATTCTCAAAACGCTGACGCTGACCGGACAGGAATTTCTTGAGGTGTAGGAAAAGATGGAAATCACTGGGAGCGAGGTCCGGGCTGTAGGGTGGATGATTAAACACCTCCCAGCTGAACTCCTGCAGGAGACTTGCTGTCCGTCGAGCCGTGTGCGGCCTAGCGTTATCACTGACCGCACTTCACAGTCGGCGGGAGCTGGAATAAGAACCTCCATCTTCAACAGCTGCAACGATGCTACTGTGAGAACGCGGGAAGTGCCGTTAGTGCATGCGCCATGCTACGTCATTGCTCTATCACGTACGCACAATCGCTTCGCTCAATATAAGGTTTGCTAGCTGTGGGACGAGTGGGAAACTTACTTTTGGGACGCGCCTCGTATTATTATTAATGAAAAATTAATTGGAAGAGACTTCGAAAGAAATGGTTGTACGCAGTTTAATGTATTGTCCGCACATCTTACGAATGAGAAGCCTCAGTTAGAATGACCCGATTTTCGGACGTAAATTCCCCGGGACATACATAACACAAATAAGGATTTGTAGCCACTCGACTGGAATGACCAGTTTTTTAACAAAAAAAAAGCGAGATCAAACAGCAAACTTAATAATGACTGGACCTCTAGTTAGTGCTGCTACTGTAGACAGCTTTTTGTTAATTTTATTTTTAAATTCTCTCTCACTTTAGCTGCTCGCCACCTCCGAAACGTCAAAATGGATTTTTTAGAGGATTCGGCGCGTACGGATAAAGGCGTCTCAGGTTTTATTCCTTCTTGCTAACCTCAGTCGCTGTGATCTGTCACCAAGATGGCTTTCCCCTTCTATTCGTGCCGCAAAGTCCCTATCCGTCATGATTCATCACTTTTCAATTATTTTCCCTTTTCCAAACATAACTGAAATGATCCTTGGCATGGTCAATTGTTTCTAATTACGTCTTATTTCGTACAGCGTGGATTTTGACTGTTGGGGGGGTTTAGAATAACAGATCTACATATTATTTTTACAATAAAGGTAAGACTGGCGAATTTTCATTACTACCGACTGCTTGAAGGTTCTCATATTTTCGCCCAGTTTCATTTTAAATAATGACCTTACATCCATAAACCGATTTCTTGATAGGAATATCCCCTCCATCTTAAGGTTTATACATGATTTTGTCACAGTGCCTCGTTTGTGACAACTGTTTGAAGTAAAGAGTGTTCTTAAGATAAGAGAATTCAGAAAGAATTTACTTATTCCTAAACCAGTCTTCATTGTAACGGTATCAGGTGTTTCGTTTAAAGAATGAATATGTTCTTCGAAACGTAAGCACTTCTGTCAAGATGGCGTAAGATCCAATGCCAGTTTTGTGACACTGCGTTCAAAGGTTACGAGATAAAATCGATGTCGCATTTTTCTGTTTGAATCTAGCCTTGTCACTCTCACCGGTTCACTTGTTCTATTGTGTAGTATGGCTCTATTGAAATAGAAGTTTCAAGCCTTCTGACCGTAGTGCCTTACTCAGTGTTAAATATTATAGAATTACAACGTTTCGGAAACCTGGATTCTGCTCCGAAAAGTAATTTTATAACACTCGGACAATGAAAAAAAACTCGATACATTCATTCCATCGCACTGTCATAGGCGTTAGGAGAATCAGTTCACAAAACATTTTTGCCAGTGACTTCAATCTCCAACAACTGGCTCCATGGAAACTGTCAGGAGCATTATACATCACAACCCGTTATTATGTCGATGGCGATGTTAAAATATGGACGAACTTTGTTTTGGCAAGTCTCGGCAGGTTCTGTAGTACAGTACTTTCATAAATTCGTGATGAACAATTCAATACTTTCGTGCGATTTTTATAAATATTATGTAAGTTCTTAACGTAATGTATTATTTATGTGAACCTTGTACGCATAAGGTTGGCTTTATAACGCATTTAACTAATTAACCAACAAAACAAGTAACTGATAACTAACTAACCAGTTTAATCGACTTTCATTAAACGTGTTACAAACGCCAAGTCTCTGGAGACTATTTAATTCTTGTGGTTTATAAATTATTAAGTAAAAATAGCTAATTAACCAGCTTAATTATCGATTATATAGTTAAGTTACCTTGTTAACATGCTACCTAATAACGAACTATCAAAGAATTTACTTACTTAAGTAAACAAAATCTGTCTAGTTCAAAAAACAAATAAAGTAATTAAACGCTGGCCTTGTAATCCTGGGGTCTCGGATTCGATTCCCGGCGGTGCACGAATTTATAACTTGTGTTGGGCAAGGCCGTGGTCTAGGCAACACGGAGTTTTCCTCCGTGGCATCCCAACAATTACCCCATTCACACACAGAAGAAGGCAATGGCAAACCACTTCTGCATCATCTGCCAAGAACGTATATGAACAGGTCCCAGTCCGAGAAAAGGATGGAAGGATCCTGTTCATATGGACCTGTCGTCAGACAGAAAACTAAATAAATAATAATTACATCATTAAATGAAAAATTACTAAAATAACTAACTAACTAGCTAGCTATAAAGAGCAACACGTACCTAAGTAACAAAGTGACTAAGTGACTGTAATAGCCAACCAGGTAACGAACGAGCTAGTGGTAAATACAAGTGGTAACTGGAAGGAGATGAATGGCGAATAACGAGAATTAAGCAACTTGATATTTATGAATGTCGCCAACTACCCGAGAGTCAATCGGGTTGACGGAACTGCATTGTGCGCATGTGTCAAAGATATCTGGCGACGCACAGAAGCAGAAACAGAGGAAAGAGGCCAGCTTTGAGACGCGTTGATCAAAAGCAATGATGACTTGTTTATAATAAAGGAAAATGTCTTTCAGAGTCCAGATCTAGATGTCACATGTTTATTGACAGAGAATCTAATGGTATAAGAGATACCTTTTAAAAATACCACTCTTCTACTCCGTCGCTCGTACCTTCGCAAATGAATCCATCTATAGAGAACCAAACGCGAACGGTTTTCATAACTCGTTTGATTTCTTCTTTATAATGAGGATATTCTGTTCGTTTTATGTCGAAATTAAACTGTCAAACGAAATAGAGATACTTCGAGGAAGATCAGGTTGCAGAGGTGGATCTACAACGACGATATTCCAGTCAGTTATTAATATCGCGTAGCCCTAGGCTTCGCAGTTTCCTTGGGAGTCTTACGAAACGCCAACTTCTGTTGCCGTTTAAGTTAACATTGAGAACGTCGTCTCTGGGATTAAGTATCATGTTATAAGGGCTTGTCGTAGTGGTATTCAACCTGGGGTACGCGAAGACATCTTAGGGTGTACGTGAAATTTAAAAAAATATATATATTATTTTATGAAAAACACTGAATAATCAGTAATGTAATTTATTTTATTTAATTTATTTTAGATGTAGATTATATACTATGTATAACTCGAATTATACACCAACAACTTTGGGGGTACAAAGTTGAAGAGAGATTATATCTGGGGGTACGCGAACAAAAAAGGTTGAATACGACTGGCTTATGTGTTAGTGGATTTACAGCTCAAAAGATTTTTAAACTCGGCGGCACTAGATACCTGAGTTGTTAGCATTACGCTCGTCAGATTTATCCCTGGAACATCAGTTCAAGTGACGGCAAATACAAAAGTTTCTGTCTCTGACGGTCGTCCAGCAGGTAACCATCATTCAAGGTTCAAATACACAAAATTATAATACTAATGTTGCTTCACATGGTTGTAAAATTTCGTCTGTCATCCCGAGGGAAATAAGCAGTATTTTGGGTGTTTGAAACGATGTCCTGCAGACAGAATATGAACACAGAAATAAATAAAATTTCATAAAGTGACATTTTAACAATTTGTACCAATAATTTAATATTGTTCAAGCCTTCAAATTCAGAGAAAACAAACGTATGTTACATATAGAAAGGGCGAGGAGCCAAGAAATGTAAGTACATGTAGGAAGAGAACACTTACGAGACCTGGACATAGATGGGCGTATAATATTAAACCAGATATAAAAAAAGTATCTGAAAATATAAAATGGAATTATGAAGCACGAGGTCGAATATAACAGCGGTATTATGTAAAATCGTGAATTATTTTTTTGTGTTTCAATTACTAAAATATTTTATACATCTTGTATACTATAAGTTTAAACATTAAAACTTCAAAATTATAATATTATCTCCTGTTTTGTATCAGTGTGAAACTTGATAGGTCACATACAGATTTAATGTTGTCTGTGAAGAAGGTATCGAGGTTAATATTTTGATATGTGAGAGAGAAAGTATTCGGGGCTCGGAGAAAATTACATACGAGATGCTTCATAACGCGTATAAAAATTCTCTCTGTGATCAGCATCGTCAAAGATGGATCAAAAACCAAAATTTGGAATAAGACGTATCTTTCATTAGGGTCGTTAATTTACAACTTGTCTGAATTTTTTAGTGCATTTATTTGCTTCATAATTTGTACTCGTCTTAAGATATCATTACGAAGATCTAATAAAGGATTAGATGGGTGGGGCACGTAGAAGACACAATAGACACGATAAATGCATAGAAAATGCTAGTTGGAAGAAGGGAATTGTAAGACCGAGGCGTGCATGGGACAGGGGGCGTCGATTGGATTAAGCTGGATTAGGTGAGGAACCGATGACGAACTCTTGTGGACACTAGATTTCAACTTCGGTTTCCATAAACGTCGGGAAATTTCTTGACTATCTAAGCGACTATCAGCTCCTCAAGGATGACTCTAATCAATGGATTTGAAATCTGTCTGAATGTA